TGAGCCAAGCTGTTTATCTTGTCCGTCGTACACGGACGTGTGTAGTATCAAACAATACTACTATGTGTATGTGACTTTCGACATCCTTCATTGATAAGTGTTGCAGACATCAGGACCTCCCTATCTGTGCTGCAGACACTGTGTCCATGGTGGAAATACATACATGCAGTGTTACAAAAACCACACGGTGTGGATGAGTCATACAGGAGGCGGTGGGGGAGCCAAGAGTTAAAGTATTTGCTGGTCATGCCATAGACCCGGGTTCGATTCCCCTTGAAGGATGAACAACATAATGTGTGAAGCCCATTTCTGGTCCTCCTCTGCCCCACTGATATTGCTCGAATATTGCTAAAAATTATTTGCTACCACATGTACAACTTTAAACAAATATAGAGGTGTAAAACTAAACTCACTCACTCTCATACAGACCCTGAAACAAATATACCTAACACAGCCGATGCAAGTCTACAGTAAGTAGCAAGTCTAGAATACCACTTTCTGCCTGCAAATGAGGAAAATCTCTGGGCTCCCTTTTATTATATTTTATGAATATATTTTAAGAAACATTTTTTCTGTAAAATATGTTCATTTCAGAGACTAGATGTTATTCTAGGTGATGATGTGAGTGCTGATGCAAGATCATCTAGTCTGTCTCACAGTTCCTGAACTCATTATTTTCCCTACTGCCTAGCTCTCCAAGCAATGCTAAACCACTAAATGAAGCAAGTCTAGATTTCCTTGGGTTCTGAATATCCCAACTCACTGGTGCTCCTATTCAATATAAATGGGATTATTTGTTACTATCAAAATTATATATATTCAGAGACTAAGTGTCAGTATAAAGATCACTGTAAAGAACAGCCGATGCATGCTCCTGCTTTCAGTCACTGGATTGTCTGGTCCTTCCTCACAAATGACAGGCACATGTGATACAGCTGGAATGTTGATGAGTGCATTGCTAAACAACTCACTCTCAACAACATTCACTAAAAACAACACTCATCCTAACAACATGCCATACAAGATAGTTGTTGACTGTCCCAATACACCACGTATTGAAGAGTGAGTGAGTGAGTGAGTTTAGTTTTACTCAGTAATATTACAGCTATATGGCGGCGGTCTGTAAATACTCGAGTCTGGACCGACAATCCAGTGATCAACAGCATGAGCATCGATCTGCGCAATTGGGAACCGATGACATGTGTCAACCAAGTCAGCCAGCCTGACAACCCGATCCCATTAGTCGCCTCTTACGACAAGCATAGTTGCCTTTTGTAGCAAGCATGGGTTGCAGAAGACCTATTCTACTCCGGATCTTCACGGGTCTGTATTGAAGAGTGAGAGTAGTTAAAGATAGGCAACAGTTTGATATAGTAGACATGAGCTGTACAAATATATTGACCTGCAGGATTGCAGCCCACAATCAACCTAAACTACATGTGCTACTGATATTGGCAACCTATTGAACTTTGTGGCAAACTGGGGCGGTGGCGTAGCCTAATGGTTAAAGCGTTGGCTCGTCACGCCGAAGACCCGGGTTCAAATCCCCACATTGGTACAATGTGTGAAGCCCATTTCTGGTGTCCCCTGCCGTGATGTTGCTGGAATATTGCTAAAAGCGGCGTAAAACCAAACTCAGTCAGTCAGTTGTGGCAAACCGGAATTGGTCCCAAGAAACAGGTGCTGTGACAACTTAAAGATTTGGGTAGTCAAGTTTAGTTACTTGGTTGACTGGTTGATCATTACCTGAGGGTGTGGATCTTTACTCTTAATATCAATCACTGAATTGTCTGGTTCAGGCTACTCTCATATTGCTGGAATATTGGTAAATAACTTTCTGAACAACAAACTGACACATCTGAGGGATATCTAGTATATCTGCGACCATGACAGATGGAGACAATTCTCAATTCAATGGCTTTTTTTATGAAAAAAGCCATAAAACCCTTCCATATTCATTATGACTGTACGAAATTTGAACTTACCAGCGACATCCCTCTCCGATGACTCCAAGTCTGATACCTCTTTTTCATGGTAAATTCCATTTGGAGAGCCAACACGAAAAAATTCTTACAAGTCACTAATCAATGAACACATACACTCTTGTGTTGACAGCATGATGAGAACTAACTGCAAGACAGTCACACTGCCGATTAACTCATTAACTCGCTGAGACTTGATACCAGCTAATGTACCAGGAAACTGGATGGGTCAAGTAGCAACTAGTCATCAGGGCTGATTTGGCTCATCTGTTGACTGCTCACAACGGAAGGAACAACGGATAGAGTAACGGAAGAATGGACGTCTCCCTCCTCCCAACAGACACAGTCAAATGCCACAAGTTTCCTGATTATAGTAAGCTGCTGTGAGGGCGAACGTGGCATCTTTGTCCTAAACATGTACTACACCATCCTCACAATAAACACATCCTTCCTTTGACAATAGCTGGTCTGTAAATGGTGTCATGAGTTCATGAAGAGCAGAAAATGTATTTCAAATCGGTTCTGGATGTTTTGTACACAGAATCTATAGTTTTAAACTTCCATGTGTCAAAGTTTTAATGTTTTTAAAGTGTCGCTTTTGAAGGATAAAAATAACATAAACATTTTTTTTAATGCCCCAAGTTGTGGAACAGTAGATTCCTTATTCTAAAAGACTCACAGAACTCATACATTATTCACATGTTTGGACAAAGAGGTATATACAGTTGCATATTTCACGGATAGGGTTCACACCATCAGAGGATGTGAAAGAAATCTGCCCTAGCTCACATGCTGGTTAATAGTGCGCAATCATGACATCACAGGTTGTGTGCACATGATGTGCCTTCATTGGTAAACCTACTGTTTATACTGCCAGGGCAGTGCCAGTAATACAGGGAGTTTTCACACAGATATTAGCTGGTTCCTGGTATTTCTGGTTCTCTAAATTCTTCTGATGTTCAGTCTGTATGTGGTTTGACAGCATACTCAACAATATTCCAGCTGTATGATAACACCATGTAAATATTCAAGCTTGTAGAGTGAGTGAGTGAGTGAGTGAGTGAGTGAGTGAGTGAGTGAGAGTGAGAGTGAGAGTTGGGTTTTACGCCGCTTTTAGCAATATTCCAGCAATATCATGTTGGGTGACACCAGAAATGGGCTTCACACATTGTACCCATGTGGGGAATCGAACCCGGGTTTTCAGCATGATGAGCAAACGCCTTAACCACTAGGCTACCCCATCGCCCTAAGCTTATACAAATAAGTGATTGATAACAAGAGCAATGACCCATACTGAACTTTACCAAATGACCCATATAAGAAACCTGTTTATTACACAGGTAGCCATGGGACGTATTTGGGACATGACTATCTATATATATACATGTATATATAATTTTAAAATAATGCTCCTGCAAAATATATGTCATTATGAAAACTGTGATTCTGATCTGAAAATTTAACTAGGTTTAAAAATGCTATATTGTCTTTTTGTTATCCCCTCAAGTTTGATCTTCAAGAATCACACTTGTCATCTTACAAACCCTACTGAATGCATACAGAAGGATTGTATGAAACTTCAGTCAGTTTACATGTAACAATAACTCATCATTTAGTTCCATTTCACAGATTTTAATCAAAACAAGACATTGTAGCAGACAGAATTTGAAATGTCAAGGTACATAAATGCTTGCAGATGGCAATAGGTAAGGAAGATGTTATAAATGAATATATACGCTACACCATATTTGGTGCCTGTACAGAGAAACACCAGGGACTGTTTTCAAATACAGGAATGTCCAGCCATAATATGATTCATTACACCGATATAATTAGTTTGTTTTGTTGGACTCTACTCATAGGCACAAGAATAATATTGATTACCATTTACTGAAGAAACTGAAAATCGGGCTGAATTCGACAACACAAAATCAACATCTGTAGGGAACTAGAGTAAGTGAGTGAGTGAGGTTTGATGCTGCTTTGAACAGTAAAAATTCAAGTAAAGTGATGCAAGCCTCTAATGCTTACCACAAACCTACGAACCTGCTTACCACAAACCTATGAACCAGCTTACCACAAACCTACGAACCTGCTTACCACAAACCTATGAACCTGCTTACCACAAACCTATGAACCTGCTTACCACAAACCTACGAACCTGCTTACCACAAACCTATGAACCAGCTTACCACAAACCTGCTTACCACAAACCTACTGAACCTGCTTACCACAAACCTATGAACCTGCTTACCACAAACCTATGAACCTGCTTACCACAAACCTATGAACCAGCTTACCACAAACCTGCTTACCTGCTTACCTGCAAACCTGCTTACCACAAACCTATGAACCTGCTTACCACAAACCTATGAACCTGCTTACCACAAACCTGACGAACCTGCTTACCACAAACCTATGAACCAGCTTACCACAAACCTGCTTACCACAAACCTGCGAACCTGCTTACCACAAACCTGCGAACCAGCTTACCACAAACCTCTGAACCTGCTTACCACAAACCTGCGAACCTGCTTACCACAAACCTGCGAACCAGCTTACCACAAACCTGCTTACCACAAACCTGCTTACCACAAACCTGCGAACCTGCTTACCACAAACCTGCGAACCTGCTTACCACAAACCTATGAACCTGCTTACCACAAACCTATGAACCTGCTTACCACAAACCTGCGAACCTGCTTACCACAAACCTGGAACCTGCTTACCACAAACCAATGAACCTGCTTACCACAAACCTATGAACCTGCTTACCACAAACCTATGAACCTGCTTACCACAAACCTATCAGTGTGAACTGGGATTCAAACTCACAATCAGGTTCCTTGTCCATCAAAGGGACACAACTCTGCACAGCAAATTGTGGCAAGTTAGACAACTAGGTTACCTGTGACCCCTGTAGTTGACTAGAACAGAAGATCATTTCAATAAAAAATACAATCATAATGGGTCTATCATAATATAAATTTGAGGTCTAAGATATAAACAAAGTCTTACCTTTTTCAATGTAGGTGTGCTGTTCGGAGTTCCCTCCCCTTTGACTGTGTGTTGAGAGCGGGGCGAGGACTGGTGGCTGCTCCCTGGGGTGGAGATGGGTGTGTCTGAGTCGACAGGGGTTACCCGTGGGGGGATGGGTGGAGGCAGCTGTAATACTTGTACTGATTCAGTACTAACAGGGGGTCTTCCAACAGCCAGTAGGTGGCGCTGTTGTGAATACTGATATGAACAATACCTTTTATGCATGGCATCGAGTAATGATTTTGAAATATGGGGTAAACTTCGATGAACTTGACCTTGGCCCATAGTCATCATACCATTGCCAATATTAGCAAGACTAGCATTACGTCTGTTGAGCAAAGTGAAATGGGGGGCACTCTCAGAACTCACCATACCAACACCCATCTTCGGTGCTAATGGTTTTGAAAAACCAGTCCCAGTAATCCCGTGCCATGTTCTGGACATTTCAGGGCTGATTATTATGCTTTCTTCACCCGGTTTCTTAGTCAAATGCCGAGGTGGTATTCTAGGTGAGCGGCCATTTTGTTCAACTAGTTGTTTCTGAAGGCAGTTTTCGCGACTCGGTTTCACCTTACAGTCGATGGATTGGTTACACTGCATATTTTGATTTTGATCGACTTTCGAGCTTTCACTTGCTTCAGTCGTTTTGTTGCTATTTTCAATTGAGTTTGCCCGTCTGAATGGGCGTCTGCGATCCAGGACTGGAGTGGAAGAGTTGACAACAACCTGCATCTCAGGGGATTTATCCTCCATTAAACTCTGCATGTTTTCATCTATAGCAATGGTCAGTGCTCCACTGAATTTGTTCGGTAGACCGCTATCAGATGACTTCCTTTGACGAGGGTTGACTCTGGTGACAATCTCCCGGGTTCGTTCAAATGACCGTGACCTTGTAGGGACTCCCTGCTTCCCGGATTCCATCAGGGCAGACTTGAGTCTCCTGTGTGTCTGTGTAGCTCGTGAAACCCTTCCATGCTTGTGCAATGTTAACAGTTTATCTTTGGTTTGTAAGCTTTTAGACATCTTTTCTACATCTTTTATGTCTGCTTTTGATGAGACTGTCTGACATCCAATTGAATTCTTACCAGTAGTTTCAGCATGTCCATTTTGTTTCTCAGAAACACATTTACAGTTTTTCTTTATTTGACCACATTTGCATTTTGGACAATTCTTACAGAGATATTCTTTACATATCTTGATTGGGCTTGGTGGAACTTGGCAACCAAAGTCTGTGTAACTATGCTCACTGTCAGATAGCTCTGCTATGTGTTTGCTGCATCGTGATTGGCTGTTCCTCAGGCTACCAGCATCATCACTGCCTTCTGGTCGGCTCTTTCTCTTTGTCCGTTGCTGGTTGATCACATGACTGATGATTTGCTCCGTGTGATCAACTGAAGGTAGGCATGATGTTGTTTTGCCGTCATCGTCGGAGACCACCAGTTCCTGAAATGGATAAGGCTTACATTAGACAGAGGAGGCAACAATGATTATTTTACACGAACCATAATGGGAACACAGCTCCATGACTGAGCTATCATTGTTTGTCACAGCATCAAATATTCATGCAAAATTGGTACAAAATTCATGCAAAATTGGTGCTCCATGGTTTGAAATCTATATGGGATGTACATCTCAACCTTGTGATAGTTTGGGGGATAACACAACATTGTGCTGACACATTGTCATATATCTGATTAGTATCATCTGGAGGCCAACTCAAATTTCTTGTTCTCCAGGTGACAAGCTCAATGACAAGCTGGTGATAACTGACTGAAGCACCAGTAAAATCTCCAATACCTCTAAGTCTTGTATGTTTGCATCATTTTAACATCTCTCACAATGTCAAAGAAATGTCAACCCACCAATAAACAAGTAACTGCTTACTTAAAAAGAATAAACAAACAAAACCCTGCATTTTAAATTTGTTTATACTAGTATTCTGTACAAATTCAAAGGAGATGATTGCAACATTACTTTTAACTTTTGCAACAAAATCGTTTATTGTAAAAAAATAAAACGCAAAGTTCCTGTTCAACAAACACATATATTAAACATACCACATGAACAGAATGATGGATCTCACATAATGTACATAAAAAAACATGGTGTGATAAAGAGACTGTTTGGCCCACTAACATTCATTTTTATTTTTAATTCCAATACATAATATGCCCATGATATTATTTAGGATTTTATATATCATGCATATACAGGCTTTAATTTTTGCATATATTTTTTTATTCTCATTACCGTATATTACCGTCTATAAGTTGACCCCATTGATTAGCGGACCCCCAAGCTTGACCCTTAAAAACAGTGTCAAAATGGTATCTTTCGTACATAAGCCGATCCCCTGTGATGGGGTCCTAATCCTGGCAAACACAGACCACAGACAACTGGCAGTTACCAATAATGATAACTTTGGTCAACATTATTCTAAGAATTCACAATCATATTGCGTCTACTCATGCATCGAAATGAATTGTAGTTGACAGCAAATGGATAATATCACGAACTGATTACCGCCTCGTTTTCCATGGACTGCTAGTTTACAGTAACATCGGCAAAAATGTGTGAATTTAAATGGCTTGATTATTTTACCCCATTCCATGTGCGTACGTACAACTTCCGCTTACCACGTTCATGAGGGTCCGTATAACCTTAGTGTTGATTACATATATTTCACATTTATAGAGCAAAAACTGTAATTATAATTACACAATGCTAGGATATATTTCTTTGGGTTAAATAACAGTATTCTGTATTATATTTTAATGATGACTGCATCAGAATTCTTCCCATTATATTATTGTGCATATTTGAACTTGATCGCCGGGCAACATGTGCACAGCTGATAGCTATTTCTGGATCAAATACACACGGTAATCTTAATCCCTGCAAATAATACAATGCCCAGCAAAAACAACTTAGAACTTAAAAGGTAAATAATATTGTCTAGTGATGTTTAATTTCAAATTTGGCGTCTCTACTGACAAAGTTGTCTGTTGTTTGTTCACACAAAGTAATACGATGTTGTTTTCTTACCCCTGGAAAAAGGTTGACAAAAGCGTAACTCATAGATAAGCCGACCCCCTTCTATAGACTGTTCTATTTTAATCCTCAAAATTCGGCTTATAGACTGTAATATACAGTACAACAAATATAGAGGTAGGGATATTACAGTAACAGAAACTTACTTTTTGAGGCACTATACAAGTCAGTCACTTCTTTTTGGAAATGAAAGGACTGAGAAAGTATATTTAATGCACACTCAAAGGTGTCAGAAGTGTAGACATTTGATAAATACATATTTGTAGTATATTAAAAGAATACAATATCCAAAACAACCTTAAACCTATTCAACCCACCAGAAGCTGACACAAAAAGTATGACACAGACATTCATAAGAAAATGGTCAATACCATCAATATAGTCAGCCAATTTGAATCTATGAACACAACATAGTTACCACGTACCATTCTGGGAGATGGGTCGTCTGTGACTATCATAACGATCAAATATTCCTCCCTGAATTGGTGTTTAATCCTGTTAATGTGACATTTATCACCAGTGTAAACCCATAGTGTTAATTATGAACTGTGTACATGCCATCTATCATACAGGCTTCACACGTTATCACCAGCTTCCGTTACCTTTAAACTTTTATCTGATAAAAAGTATCGACCAAAGAGACGTGGCGAACATCATATGTACAGATGTAAGCCGAAACTTAATATTCACATGACCATTTGAAGGTGCTCTATATTGGATGTGATCGTAGATATATCGGCAACATTGATAACACTGGCCACCTGATGTGGTGTATTTATATACAGAGGGTTTAAAGGTACATTCCTACTACAGTTGTATATTAATAAACAGAGGGTTTAAAGCTACATTCCTACTACAGTTGTATATTAATAAACAAGATTTAAAGGTACATTCCTACTACAGGTGTATATTGATAAACAGAGAAGTTAAAGGTACATTTCTACTACAGTTGTATATTGATAAACAGAGGACTTAAAGCTACATTCCTACTACAGATGTATATTAATAAACAGAAGACTTAAAGGTACATTCCTACTACAGTTTTATATTGATAAACAGATGATTTAAAGGTACATTCCTACTACAGTTGTATATGGATAAACAGAGGACTTAAAGGTACATTCCTACTACAGATGTATATTAATAAACAGAAGACTTAAAGGTACATTCCTACTACAGTTGTATATTGATAAACAGATGATTTAAAGCTACATTCCTACTACAGTTGTATATGGATAAACAGAGGACTTAAAGGTACATTCCTACTACAGATGTATATTAATAAACAGAAGACTTAAAGGTAGATTCCTACTACAGTTGTATATTGATAAACAGAGGACTTAAAGCTACATTCCTACTATAGTTGTATATTGATAAACAGAGGACTTAAAGTTACATTCCTACTACAGTTGTATATGGATAAACAGAAGATTTAAAGGCACATTCCTACTACAGGTGTATATTGATAAACAGATGATATAAAAGTACATTCCTACTACAGTTGTATATTTAAATACAGAGGATTTAAAGGTACATTCCTACTACAGCTGTACATGGATAAACAGAGGACTTAAAGGTACATTCCTACTATAGTTGTATATTGATAAACAAAGGATTTAAAGGTACATTCCTACTTCAGTTGTATATTGGTATACAGAGGATTTAAAGGTACATTCCTACAACAGTTGTATATTGATAAACAGATGATTTAAAGGTACATTCTACTACAGCTGTATATTGATAAACAGAGCATTTAAAGGCACATTCCTACTACAGTTGTATATTGATAAACAGAAGATTTAAAAGCACATTCCTACTACAGGTGTATATTGATAAACAGAAGATTTAAAGGTACATTCTACTACAGCTGTATATTGATAAACAGAGGATTTAAAGGCACATTCCTACTACAGTTGTATATTGATAAACAGAAGATTTAAAGGCACATTCCTACTACAGGTGTATATTGATAAACAGATGATTTAAAGGTACATTCTACTACAGCTGTATATTGATAAACAGAGGATTTAAAGGCACATTCCTACTACAGTTGTACATTGATAAACAGAAGATTTAAAGGCACATTCCTACTACAGGTGTATATTGATAAACAGAAGATTTAAAGGTACATTCTACTACAGCTGTATATTGATAAACAGAGGATTTAAAGGTACATTCCTACTTCAGTTGTATATTGATAAACAGAGGACTTTAGGGTACATTCTTACTATAGTTGTATATTGATAAACAGAAGATTTAAAGGTACATTCTACTACAGCTGTATATTGATAAACAGAGGATTTAAAGGCACATTCCTACTACAGTTGTATATTGATAAACAGAAGATTTAAAGGCACATTCCTACTACAGGTGTATATTGATAAACAGAAGATTTAAAGGTACATTCTACTACAGCTGTATATTGATAAACAGAGGATTTAAAGGTACATTCCTACTTCAGTTGTATATTGATAAACAGAGGACTTTAGGGTACATTCTTACTACCCACAGAGGGATTAAAGGTACACTCTCACTACAGGTGTAGTATATCTATATGCAGAAGATTTTAAGGTACATTCCCCCTACAGTTGTGGTACATTTATATTTAAAGATGTTTTAAAGGCACATTCCTACTACAGTTGTGGTACATGTATATACAGAGGGTTTAAAGGTCCATTCTTACTACAGTTGCAGTATATCTATGTAGAAGATTGAATGGTACATGCCCACTACAGTTGTGGTATATTCATATACAGATGGTTTAAAGGTACATTCCTATTACAGTTGTGATATATTTATATACTCTAAGGTTTAAAGGTACATTCCTGCTACAGTTGTGGAATATCAATATACAGAGGACTTAAAGGTACATTCCTACTACATCTGACCTATTGTAATTTGAGTTGATTTTGTTAAGTTTTGATTTTGGAATGTTCTATGGACCAAGCTGAATTTTATCCAAAATGTGACAACTTACTTGACTGTGTTTTGTTGGGATCATTATGAGGCTACATCATGAGGGCTCATCACATATCATATCGATTTTACAACTATTTCCAAATGTTATAAATTCAATCCAAAGATTTTACTACACCATAAAACTTGGACCACTGATAACGAAATTAGATTAAATAATGATAAAGACATGGGTGACCCAGATGTCTCAGCATCACAGTTCACTTGAAACTTAACCAATAAACACACTGATTGGTCGATCATTTGACAGTTTAGATCGACAGTGTCATCACTGCTATGGAATCAAACCCAAATTATATTATGCCGAAAACCAACACTGGACCCACTGACCTACCATGCCAACCCATAGCTATGGTAAAGTTGATGTGAATGTGGATGATAATTCAAGATGCACTCCCTGCACTGTCTTGCCTCAC